CTTATGATTGTCGTATCTAGCTTCTGAGCGCGTTTCTAATTTTTCTAGAATTTCGCATCTTTTCTTTAAAAACTTTGTAATATCGTTAACTGTAGGCAAATCGCCTTCCAAATTCCAAGATTCCCATTCTCGCATAGTGGTGTTGTCGAATTTAGATGTTAACAAATATACAATTAATGTATCCCACGTATCGGTAGGCTGACCTAGTGTTTTTAAAGCGCGTAAATTTTGAATAATTATGTCGTATAAATTCCTTAAATCTGCGCGATTTTCTCGTTTCAATGGAGCAAAGTCAAACATCGCCCTTACGTGATTATGAACAACGAGCCGCTTGTTTTCGTAACGTTCATGTAATAGATCCCATGCAATGGCATAGTTCGCTTCAGAAATCTTTATAGAATGAACAACCTGTTCTGCTTCACCCTTTAAACTTGACCGCAAATAATAGAACTTTTGTACCGTAGCTATCGATTGATTATTGTGGATTAATGAGCTAAATGCATCTCTAAACTCGAACCATTGATTAGAATTGCCATCAAATGTCGGCAAGTTTATTATTGGTAACTTTAATTGCTGATTTTGAAGATTATTACCGCCAGAAGTAACATTATTTACTTGAATAGCCGTCTCATTATTGCCGCGAAATAGTGATATTATTTCATCGCTTTTTGAATTTAACTCGTAGTAAATTGTTTCAAAATTGTTTCTTTCTTGAGGCTCCTCGCTTTCGAGAGCAAATTCTATCTCGTCTTGAACCTTATTAAACTCGTCTAAAACATTTTTAAAGTTCGTTGCACGTAGTTTTAATTGCGAAATTGTATTATTGTCTAAGTCTTGTGTATCTAAACTTGCTAAATAATTTTGAAATCTTGTAACTTTGGATTTTATTAATCCCCTAGTAAATTTTAATTTCGAAATATCTGCCATGTTTTATTGTAATAGATATTTCGCTCGTATTGACCCAGATAAAAAGGGATAAGAATGTGGAATGTAAATAAACTGGAACAGACTTACAAGGGCAGGTGGTTGGATTCGCTGGCTATCGTTGCGCCGTGCTTCGCTCTCGATCCTTACAGGTGGCCGCTACTTTGCTATGTCACGATGCTGAACGCCGACAAAGCCAATCGCCGAGCTGTTTGCTTACTTCCCTGGATTCTATTGGAATGTTGAACACTTGTACGAATTTGAATTGATTGCACTTGCAATTGTTTATTGTAACTTGATTGTTTATTTCACTGGTAACTTGAATCACTTGATTGAATTGTTTTACTACTTGCAAACTTGTAACCCTGGAATCGTAGGTTACTGGTATGTTAGGCAAATCCGTCTCGATGGAACCATAAATGTTGACGCACTAGTTGCTGAACTCAATGTTATAGGGTTATGTATAAGTGGACTGTATTTATCGTACTTTTGGGATAGCCTAGTGATTGAAATGATAGAACTTGTAATTGGTAAACTTGTATTGGAGATGAGAAAACATACAACTTCCTTCTTCGAAGGTTTAATATGTACTGCTCAACATGAGCGCTTTTACTTTACATTTGTCTGTCTCCAGAGGGAGCCATCTGACAGTGCTGCCAACTGTGGGCTACATTGCAACATAATTTTTAAATTTCTAATTGGCCCCAACAAACAGTATCTGGCGATAGGGGCAAGTTCTTATTAAGAAAATCATGTGCGGGTAGTTTACCTTACGGAATACTTTCAACATCCACATGGTAAGTATACAGTACGCGCCTAAAGTAGGTATGGAATAAATTCAGTAAAAACTAATAATTTTTTTTTTGGGAAAAATCCTCGAAAAGGTCGATTCTTAATTTAAAAAAGACATATTTTAGCGTAAAAGGCGATTTTCAACCGTCATTTGTTTTCGAGTAATGACGTCATCGACATTTTTGTTAAATAGCAACCACCTATTTTTTTTCTTGATTCTGAAAGATCATTTCATTGTCGATCCGACATTATTAAAATGTTGCCATCTTACATAGGAAAGTTTTCGAGTAAATGACGATTGAATATTAGAAAACGTAAATTTTATTCATTAAAAAAATAACAATTCCTATGTCAAGCAAATACAATTCATTAAGTTTTCTACCTAAATTAAGTGTTCGAATTGCCACCCACCCACTTCTTGACAATACGCAAGTCTTTGTAGAAATTCTTCTTGCACATTATGAATTATTTCTGGGGTAACTCTGTGTATTTCATCAATAATACAATTTAATTTTCTTCTAAATTATGTGGTCTATTAACGTACACTTTGGACTTTAAGTAGCCCCATAAGAAATAGTCCAGGGGTGTAAGATCTGGGGATCTCGCGGTCCTCGTCTGCTGATCCACCTCCTAGGAAATCAATTGTCCAGAAAATCTCGAACAAAGCACGCATAGTGCGGAGGTGCACCGTCTTGCTGACACCATATGGTGTCAATAGGAATATCAGGGTCATTATCGTTAGGAAAAATTACTGCAAGCGCTGGAACAAGGTCATTTTGTAAAAACTCTAAATATGTTTTTCCTGTAAGGGTTCCTTCAAAGAAGAAATGCCCTACTATTAATTCTGTTGTCAACTATTCCAGTCAACACATTTAATTTTTGTGGGTGTTGGGTATGTGTCTCCGCCATCCAATGAGGATTTTCCCGACTTCAATACCTGCAAGTTTGACGGTTCACTTGTACCATTGAGACAAAACGTGGCCTCGTCTGAAAAAGTATTTGCTGGTGTAAATCTCTATTTACTTGACATAAATCCATCATAATTTCACAAAAGTGTAAGCGGCGGTCGGGATCGTCTTCATTGAGTTCCTGCACAAGTTGAATTTTGTAGGGATGATATTTTTCCTGCCTCAGGATACGTAGCACTGTGGTCTGACTAATTTCATTGTTTAATGCAACCAATCGTGAAGTATTATGAGGATTATCTACCATACTTATCAAAATGTTCTGTTTGTGATCTTCACTAGCGCTTGGACGTCCAGGTTTTGGAATATCTACAACATTACCAGTTTCTCTAAATTTAGATTCTATCTTACTGACTGTTGATTGGCTGATACGGCGATCTGGATGTTTTTCATTAAATAAATCGCAAACTTCATGCTGCGTTCTAGTCTTATCCCCGCATCCGATAAGAATTAAAATTTCAATTCTTTATGTGACAGTTAAATGTGCCATAATTAGTGCTGGTAAAAACCGGAAAAAAGTGAAACCGGTTAACCGGGTTCCGTAAAAACCGACTTCAGATAAAACCGGTGAGTCGAATAGTCGCTAAAACCGGTTATTCGAATAACCCGTTACTTGAATCGCCAAAACCGGATATCTGAAAATCGGTGCTTTACAAAGACAGGCCCGGAGCAATTGTCTAAAAAAAAAGCTCTTCACAAAAATCTGGAAGTCAAATTTGTTTACGAAGAAATCGATCTCCAAAAAAAAAGGTCAATTGCAATCGGACAAATCAATGTCTAAAAAAAAAGGAAGTAGATCATCGAATAATTGGTTATTTGAATAATCGGATATTTGAAGATTCGAATAACCGAATAACCGGTTTTCGGATATTTGAAGAATCGAATAACCGAATAACCGGTTTTCGGATTTCATAAAAATCCGAATTATCCGAAACCGGTTAACCGACTATCCAAAAAACCGATTTCAGTTGCCAGCACTAGCCATAATACTTTAAATTCAACAATAATTTTTATATCGCTTACAATACTTAGAAAGTCCGTATGACAGCGACATTTTGTAAAGATTTACACCTACGTGATCCATAAAAAACTTCAGGCATTTCGAAAAACTTTTGATAACGTTATTGCTTTTACCTACGACCACTAGTGTAAATACTTAAAAACACACCGTCTGCGATCAATGTAAGATTCCTATTACGTACGGTAAAAAATCGCACAGTTTTCCTAACAACCGCCTAGCAACGGCCAATACAATACTGTTTGTATTGATCGTTGCTAGGCGGTTGCTAGGAAAACTATACGATTTTTTTACCAAGCTGTGCGTTTTTTTTACCGTACGACGTAAAAGGAATCTTGCATTGATCGCAGACGGTGTGTTTTTAAGTATTTAAAGTAGTGGTCGTAGGTAAAGTATATTACGTAATACGTGGTGTAATGCAATTACGCACTCATAGAATTACGCAATCGCCGCTATGCGGCGTCGTGCGTAACTTTTCCATTCGTGCGTAAAATGCTTTTTACAACACTTATTACGTAATATACTATTACCTACGACCACTACTGTAAGTACTTAAAAACACACTGTCTGCGATCAATGTAAGATTCCTGTTACGTACGGTAAAAAAAAGCGCAGTTTTCCAAGCAACTGCCTAGCAACGGCCAATACAATACTGTTTGTATTGACCGTTGCTAGGCGGTTACTAAGAAAACTGTACGATTTTTTTACCAAGCTGTGTGATTTTTTTACCGTACGACGTAATAGGAATCTTGCATTGATCCCAGATGGTACGTTTTTAAGTAATTAAAGTAGTGGTCGTAGGTAAAGTATAGTACGTAATACGTGGTGTAATGCAATTACGCACTCATAGAATTACGCACTCGCCGCTACGCGGCGTCGTGCGTAACTTTTCCATTCGTGCGTAAAATGCTTTTTACAACACTTATTACGTAATATACTATATTTTAATTGATTTGGGTTTTCTAACATTCAATCGTCATTTACTCGAAAACTTTCCTCCGCAAGATGGCAACATTTTAATACTGTCGGATCGACAATGAAACGATTTTTCAGAATTAAGAAAAAAAATAGGGGGTTGCTATTTAAAAAAAATGTCGAAGACGTCATTGCTCGAAAACAAATGACGGTTGAAAATCGCCTTTTATGCTAAAATATGTATTTTTTAAATTAAAAATCGACCTGTTCGAGGATTTTTCCCAAAAAAGAAAATTGTTTCGTTTTTACTGAATTTATTCCATATTTTAGGCGCGTACTGTAGAATCCGAGTGTATAGAATAAATATTTTAATTACAAAATCTTACCTAGTTCCTTAGATTCTAACTTGGATTTCAGCTCTTTGATAGTATTTTCTTTCAGGGCTGGTTCTCCCTTCGTCAGGTCCTGAAATAAAATGGAAAATTGAAAATTTTGATATGTAGCACATAGTGCAGAAGATTTGGCCGCTTGGTTTGCACCTGCATGATACATTCTGAGCAACTTTTTGCTGTATATCTTGCAGAAAGGGCATTTTACTTAGATTTTTTTTTAATTTAAGATAAACTTGAATACTAGTAATATGGCACAAATTAGTTTATATCCTGTCCTGTTCCAAAAAATGCAATTTTAACTTTAATTTTTTTTAATCTTTTCCAGCTATTCAATCCGAGGACACACAAAATACAAAAATATCGCATTTGTCTAAAAGCGTATCTCTAACTAAGCCCCATTTGGAAGACTATAAACAAAGACACAACACTTTTTTTATATTGGCGAATAGTTTCTGCAATAACAAAATCACCGCAGAGGCAATATGGTACATATTGCTGCTTTCAAGTTTTCTGTGATAAAATATGCCAAATATAATTATCTGCTACATAGTAAATTGATGGCAAATATTTGCAATACTCTTGTATTTTGACAATACGGAAAGGGTTTAGATTCTGTTTTCACTCCTGTCATTTCAATTTTTTGCGGGTAAAAATTAATCAATCAAGGATTATCTAAATTTTGTTATCAAATATGATATACCTACTAAGTATAATTAACGAGATTTTTTCTGTAAACGTGTTTTATAGTGTTTCATATTATAATGAAGTCGTACGGATAACTGATATATGTATGTATCTTTAACAACAGGTAGTACTAGAATATTATTCAGAAGATATAGTATTACCTATGTCCTGTGCAAAAGTTAGTGCAACTATCTCGGTTTCAAAAATACAATACCTATGTATGATTTTAGCCACAAAAATTGAATAATTCCAAATATTTCGATTTTCACCACCAAGAACGGCAGTGACAACATTTTTAACATTAAGGCGATGTTTCGCATTGTATTAGCTATGTCCTGTTCGAATTTGGTTAGTGCAACTCTCTCGTTTTGGAAAATACACTACCTTTGTATGTTTTTAACCACGAAATTTGAATAATTCCAAATTTTCGAAAATTCGAAATTTTACCACCAAGAAGGGCAGTGACAACATTACATTAGCTATGTCCTGTCCAAATTTGGTTAATGCAACTATCTCGGTTTCGAAAATACAATACCTATGTATGTTTTGAGTCACGAAAATTGAATAATTATATCTCGCACAAATTCTATAAAACAGGCACTTTAAATGTTATTGTTCGAAAAAACCTTGAAGTTTGCACAAGATAATTCAGTTAACGCTTTGAATATTTTCTTGAAATACTAGTTAAATATTTGATGATAAAAGCAGGTCGTTTTATGCAATTGAATTCAAATTTTTCAAGCGATAACAACCTGAATTTCTCAAAAACTGTTCTCGGTGAAAACGTTGGGGATACAATCTTGACACCCTCTACCACCACTCGATCCGCAAGACGTCAAATTTTAATAATACTCCATAAATTGGTAGCCAATGTCCTAAGTGTAAGTTTAAAAGAAGAAGAAGATACCTTTATAAAGTTTTAAGATTTTTAAAATGTATAACCATTGTATTTCCAGTTATATTATTTTTACTTTATTTTAAGAGTATTAAGGTAATTCTAATAAATTTATAATTTTTTCTAAAAATCTTCAAATCAAATGAATTCAAACAATGTTTTTAATACTACACATTTAGCTGATTAAAAAAATATGACTATTTTTTTTCAAAATACCCTCTGAAATAGATTCAGGGAGGTGAGAAGAGATGCCTGTAAAAATCGGAACTCTTAATATTAATATTTAGAGGTCGCGCATGGCGATTGGGAAAAATTATTTTTCAATTTCAAAATTTTTATATCTTAAAAACCAATAGACGGATTTAAATGACCGAAACGTATTCTTGTAGTTCTACGTTCTACGAAAAGTGTCCCTTATAATTTTTTGATAAACCTACTCGTACAAAAGTTATTCAAATTCAAAGTTAAATTTATGTTATAATTACACTTTTTTCCAGTTTCAGGTAAAATGATTAAAGTTATCATGAAATATTATAAATAAAAGGAATTTAAAAGTCAAAATTGATAAGTTTATCAAGTCTTTCAAATTAATATGACTGAAAAAGCCACCATTTCTGGGAAGAATCATTTAAATCCGTCTATTGGTTTTTAAGATATAAAATTCTGAAATTGAAAAATAATTTTCCATGTTATTTAAATGGAAAATAGAAAATATTAATATTAACAGTTCCGATTTTATAGGCATCTCTTCTCACCTCCCTGAATCTATTTCAGAGGGGATTTTGAAAAAAATTGTCGATTTTTTTTAATCAGCCTAACATATACAATAATATACATGCACAAAAAACTCAAGATTCTTTCTTAACTGAGGATATTAAGGGAAAGAACTAGATACTTTATAAGCTGCATGCCATATAGTAAAAAATTAGATATATCTAAATCTAAATATTACTAATACAAAAACACATACGTGACATACTGAAATTGTTAAATAATGTAATATTTCAAAGAAATATTTCGTATTCTTATTGTTCTAACATCGCCTTCGACAAAGACAAAGACCCAGACGCAAAACAAGCCCATAGTATCAATTAAACATTTTGTCTATGAGGATAATCATCTTTTGCATACTTAAATTTACTGTATCAAAGAACACATCTCATTTCAATTAATTTTTCAGAAATATTTTTAAAATTTATTTGAATTAGCTTAATACCATTATTCTAAAATGGGAAGTTTTAAGATTATAGCAAAGAATATAATATCAACCATTCCTCTCTAAAGAGGTACATCTTCGTTATCAATTTTTGGAAAATATATTGATGTCCTGAAAATACAGGGAAACGATTTAGGATCACTACGTATATTCACCTAACTTCGACTAACATTATAATAATTTAATAGGCGACGTTTTCCAACCAAAATGATATTTTTCTTATACAAAATGATTAAAAAATAAATAAATATGTATTATAGAAATGAAATAAATTCATTTAATTCATGTAAAAGAAGAAAGACGCAATTTTCAAAACCAGCGAGTACTGCTGAATGTATCAAAATGTTATGTACGTACCATTAAAATTTGTTTAGCACAACTTTTCAAATCCCTGATGAAATTTCAGGCAAGTTCAGTAAAAATAAAAATCAGGACTGCGCATTCAACGCCACCTAATCACTACTCATGCGTGTCGTATAGTGGCAAACATTTTTCTTAGATAATGAGGTAATTATTAATTAATGTTTAAAATGCGATAAAACGTGGGCAAATATGCACATATGGTAGGTAAACATTACGACATAGTAGACACAACAAAATGTTAAGCCATGCCAGGTGGTCGCGGGGCACAATATAATTTTTCCGCAAAGAAATCGTCTCAAATTTTAATCACGGAGCGAATCCCAGGGCAGTACACTGGGTGTTCAAATACGACGGAGTCCACTAAACACTGAATAGAAGTTCTGAAGATGCACGGAAAAAAAGCACGGAAAATATGCCTCGTATAAAATACCTCCTCCATTTTATTCGATAAATAAATCATCTTCAAGTTTTTATTTTCTTATTATCAAACAAACACTACATATTCGAATAAAAAGAAAATAATTTCGATTTATTTAAATCTGTCTAAAGTTTATTTCAGAATAAAAAAATAACTCGAAAACGATTTCTTTTCGACTAATGTGAAGGTGATATTTTTTCTTTGAAATTCAGTTGTAAATCAAGTCAACTTATCGAATTTTAAAAAGTACAGTGACGTGGATATTGTGGTGTTGTTAACGATGGTGCTTCCCATTATCTTGTTTCTAAATTCAATGACTTTCTAGCGGACTAATAACAATAACACAGCCACATGCAAAAAAAAAAGTTGTCTGTACTTTTCATGCGATATATGTTAGCCGTTGTATTTTTGCCTCCTGATCTGGCGTCAGAATTGAGCTATCACATCACGGGAATTTCCTAAAAAGTGGTAGGAAAAATTACATATTTTTTTTTCTACATTCAAACATTCATTTATATGGTTAAGACCCCGAAGAACGTGAATCCCCGGTCAGGATTGATGGTTCTTTTTCTAACCTCAAAATACGGGTCAATTAAGGTCAGAGTCGCTGATTACGTATTCGAGGTCAGAATGAGTACTCAATCACGTTTTAACTTTCTTTTTTCGGCTATATCTTGTTTTTTTTTCTGTAAAAGATCTATTCAAGGGTTTTCTGTCTAATCTCAGGTAATAAAGTATATAGGTAATGATAATTAAATTTTTAAAAACGAATTTTGTAAATCTGATCCCGAATTCGTGATCAGTGACCCCGAAAACCCCCGTATAAAAAATTTGTCGCGAATATGTTATTTTTTGAAAATTTGGTCGGCCATCTTGTATCCGCCATCTTGAATTTTGCAAAATTGACCTCTGATTCGTGATCAGCGACCCCGAAAACCTTTGTATATTAAATTTGGAGCGAATCGGTTATTTTTTGAAAATTTGGTCGGCCATCTTGAATCCGCCATCTTGAATTTTGCAAAATTGACATTGGATCCATGATCAGCTACCCCGAAAACCACTGTATAGCAAATTTGGCGCGATTCTGTTATTTTTTGAAAATTCGTGATATCTACCTTAATTGACCCGTTTTTTGTTTTGAGGTTAGAAAAAGAACCATCAATTCTGACCGCGGATTCACGTTCGGTGGGGTCTTAACCATATAAATGAACATTTGAATATAGAAAAAAAAAAATGTTTGTATTTTTCCTAGCACTTTTTCGTGAATTTTTTCTATTTTTGACCTGTTTTTTTGAGGTTAGGAAATTCCTGTGATGTGATAGCTCAATTATTCTGACACCGGATTCGTGATCAGACAACATTTTTTGTGTGTGGCTGTGTAATTTTCAAGAAATTCAAAAATGCGACCAAATTTTTTTTGGCTCCAAATACGGGTCCCCCAAATTCGTCTTAAGAAGCTGTGATCAAATTTTGTTGTATTAATTTCGGGACATCCGG